ATCTTTATTGCCCTGCTTACAGAAATTGCCTCTCTGGTTAACCCTTATTATATTGCAACAGCTAAGGTGAAGCGCCCATCAACCTGAGTAACGTTGAGTTGGTCATGCCCACGCAGTCACATGACTACCGAGCCCCGCCTACCCAGCTGGTCATTAGGGCAGACAATCGGTTGTTAAATTATTTGAATCCCACCACTGCCTCCACCCTCTATCCACCGCCGTTCCAAAATTGACTTTAACAAGTGGTTGCAGTGTGTTCTCTTTTGCTGTGTTCCTTCTTTCCAAAATGCTGTAAGTGGATTTTTCCTGTGCTTTTAAAAAGAAACAACAGCAGAGGATATGAAGCTCAAGTACAAAAGCCAGATCAAAATCTTATACCTAATAGTAATAGTTTACTGTAGTACAAACAAGAATGCAAACTCTTCAAAGGGAAAATAATGAAATCCACCCCAAACTTAACATTTGCTTCAATCGATTCCGTTAAAGATAATCCAGCAAGATTGGCATTGCCAGTAAGCAAAATCCACAACTATGCATCTCACCATATGATTCTGTTGGTTGGTTAATAATGTAACATTCCTGACCATTTTTAAAAATACTGAATTTATGGCTGTATTAGCTGAAGGCACAAAATATATGTGCTCTCTGACTAAAGACACAAAACAAGTTTATAAGGTCAAGATTTATTATAGGTGCTCTGTAGTGTAACCCTTGATTTTGGTTGAATACACTCTAGTGGTTTTCTATATTATTAAAAAGTATTTGTTCACACGTAATGCCTGTGCAGCCTGGAAATAAATCTTTCTCTGCTTTTGAAACTTCCAGCTTATGTTAAGAAGAATGGAAAGTATGCTGATATAGCAATAACAATAGCACTTAGACTTATATACCGCTTCACAGTTCTTTCACAGCCTTCTCTAAGCGGTTTACAGAATCAGCCTATGGCCCCCAACAATCAGGGTCCTCATTTAACCAACCTGAGAAGGATGGAAGGCTGAACCCTGAGTTGGTGGGACTTGAACTGCCAAACTGCTGGCAATCAGCAGTCAGCAGAAGTAGCCTGCAGTACTGCACTCTAACCACTGCACCACCACGGATCTATGATATTGTTTTCACTGTACTTTTTCTGCTTAGTGCACATTGGTGGTCATAATTTTGCTCTAGCAACAGAAATAAAAGAGTAGAGGGTTAACTGCATCAGATTCACAGTTAGTTACTTTGGTTGTAAAGCTATCATTTGCTCATCCCTGCTGCATCCCAGGCATGACTTGCTTGTACCCGAGAACTCTGTGCTCGCCCACCATGGTAAAACCGCTTTACTGATAATGCTTTTGGTTCCTATAAAAGACTTGCAAGATTCTGTTATTTGTAGCTCATCTCAATACATTATAGTTTTCCTGTTGAGTTGATATTCCATTCTCATTTATCTGATTGGGAGTAATATTGCATGAGTATGCGCTAATGCATCTTAGGGCCGTGTTTAATGCAACATTAGCCAGAGGAAAAGTTGTTTTATGGGTCTGCTATCCAGCAGGATACCCTAGTTCCAGGATGGCGAACCTATGGCACACGTGCCACAGGTGGCGCATGGAGCCGTATCTGACGGCACACGAGCTGTCAGCTCCAGTGCTCATGCATTCCCTGGCCAACTGATTTTTAGCCTTCTGGAGGGCTGGGGGAGGCCGTTTTCGCCATCCCCAGGCTTCAGGAAAGCCTCCCAAGCCTGGGGAGGGCAAAAAACGAGGCCAACCAGATCTTCTGGTAGGCCTGTTGGGCCTGTTTTTTGGCCTTCCCAGGCTCCGGAGGCTTTCCTAAAGCCCGGGGAGGGCAAAAATGGCCTCCTCCAGTCCCCTGGAAGCTGGATCATTTCTGAACTTCCAGTTGGTCCATTGGGCCTGTTTTTCACCCTCCCCAGGCTCTGGAGGCTTTCCTGAAACCTGGGGAGGGCGTAAACGGCTTCCCCCAGCCCCTCCAGAGGAAATACCAAGCTCAGCTTGGAGGCAAGTAGTGCGGCATGCGTGGTGGGAGCATGGGGGGGGGTTGTGCGCACATGTACATGTTTGGGCATGTTTTGCATTATGGGTGCCAGCACACGCTATTGCGCGCACGCCCTTGCATTTTTGGCGCCCAACAACAAAAAGGTTAGCCATCACTGCCCTAGTTAAAGACCCTTAAAGATCCATGGGGCCTATATGTTTAAAAAAGGGAAAGGGAATTAAAGTGTCTTTAATTTAATCCAGTAGATTATCTATCAGACTCTCTAAAATTTGTTCACTCAGAGATATTCACAGGGTATGATAAAATAAAGTCTAGATGGTGGCTATGACAGTGCAATTGAAGTCAGGAAGTGGTTGTGATAGATAGATCCATATAAAAAATAGGGAATTTTGAGTCACACATTATTGTGATTTTACCAATTCTTTACTTTCCAATATAAAAGGAACCTCCAATGAGATAAACATTTCCGCACAATATCAGTATTTGTTGTTTATAATAGTTTTTAGATGCTACTCCTTAGAGCAGGGGTGTCAAACTCAAGGCCCGGGGGCCAGATGAGGCCCACATGGTGCTTAGATGTGACTCAAAGGCCATCCTGAAAACAGCCCATTTTCGCTGGCACAGTTCTCGGGTCACCACAGGCACCCCTGACACGAATGGGGTATAGCTGGCCCCCACCTTGCCTCCCGAAGTCAAACGCAACTCTGATGCGGCCCTCAATGAAATTGAGTTGGACACCCCTGGCTTAGTCTTTAAATCCATGGAGTTATTGGAAATTGAAGGAACACATCAGTTCAGTTGCCACACTGATCATATGTTTCTATAGAACAGAGACAGGATCATATATTTGTACCCCAAAAAGAAATTCAAAGAAAAGTCAAAATTTACTTTTCTTTTAACAACCAAGATGGGTGTTGAAACTGCAGAAAGATATGCTTTGCTGGATGTGTATGGCGCCTGAAGCCATTATGATTTGTAATTTCCTCATAATGCTGGACCTGATGTGAAGTATTATTAAAAGTTCAATGCGATATATTGCATTAAGCTAGTAAATCATATAGGAATTATTGGAGGGTATTAATAAATGTTTTGGATTTGCCTCTTTCAGGCCAAAAGGAAATGTTTTTAAAATAAATGTAAATGTATCCTTTGGAAAAAGGAAACCTGACAAAATTACAGATAACTTTTAAAATGTATGTACAGAATATACTCTAATGTGAAGAGAGTGGCTATTTTTAACA